GTCTCACACTCTTGAAAGTTATGCCTGGTGAGTGCTGGAAAGGGCAATTTCTGTCATAGTTTTGTTTCCCAATGATCTTTTTTTTTTTTTCTTAAATGAAGACAAATACTTGGCACAAGAGTAGCATTGCATATAAATCTTTCTGGAAAGTTCTTGAATGATTCATTATTAGAGCTTCCAACTTCCTCAAATGCTGATGTTCGCAAATCAGTTTTCTTTCTAACTCAAACCAATCACTCTAAGCTTGCACTCTAACACCTTCCATTGAAGTCTTACTACAACTATTTTGAGTAGTGTTGAGGAGAAACCAGAACTTTGCTCAAATTTTTGCATGTTTTGCGGTCCTGTGGGTCATTTATCTATACAGTTCAGAAGTTTCCACCTTTCTACTCTTTCTCATCACCTTGGATTACACTGGCTTAATGTCAGTCAACACAGTAAGACATAAAAAGCCTTGAAATGCTTGTTTGACCGTTATTGTATTAGTCTTGTTTATTCCCTGAACAGTCCTAACAGGGGAAGAGGGCGTGACTATAGTCAGAAAAGATAATGATAAAGCATTTTCCATCTCATGAAAGAATACAACAGCTTTGACATCCTGTTTGGTGCTGGCTTCCTGTGTGTGCTGAATCCGCTCTCTCTTACAAGGTAAAGGCAGAGTGAATTTGGCAGTGTAAACTAGTGGTGGTGGTGGTGGTGGTGGTGTGTGTGCGTGTTTGGGAGAGGGGTTGCAAGTATTGGGTCTGAGGAAGAAAGACTAATTTAAACAAATGCCTGAAGATGGGAAGGGAGTAGCAAGCCTTGGGCATATCTGAGGAGAGCATTATAGTCCGAGAGTACACCAAGTTCAAAGTCTCTAAGGCAGGAACGGGCCCCTATGTCTGTGGAACAGCAGGAAACCACTGTGGATGGAGTGGAGTAAAAAGGGGATGGGAGCAAGGAGTTGGGACTCACAACAGACAACACCCGCCCCATAAATTGTTTCCTTTTTTCCAAATTGTTACTATTCTGAGAAGTGTGCATTGTGTCATTTGGTTGGCCTTTCAGAGTAGACCTTTGAAAATACATTAGTAACTTCCTTAAGAAAATTTTGGTCATCTGACACTCTGATTTTAAATTCTACAAGCTCCAGCCACAGAAAAAAAGTGATGGCAATACATTTTTCAGAGGCCACTGGAGGTACCTTTATGTTTCTTCTACTGAGAAGGTAAATCTGACTGTTGTGATTATCCTAATATATTAAAACCCTGAGTCCACAACAACTGGAGGCTCAACCACCAGAAGTCAGTCTACAGTCAGCTCTGGGTTATGGCGACCCAGCAATGACTGCTGAGGGGGCTATGAATCAGGCCCAGAGAGAGGCCTGAAGAGCGAAGCAGGGTTTGATCTGTAGCCTGTGTGGCAGCTGTTGAACAACATTTGCCTCTCTCTTTCTCTCTGTGCCTGGCCAGCATCCGTGCCTACATTTTTCTCCAGGCCTCCACCAGGGCTGCTGATCAGCCCCACCTTTCTGACCAGGCCCCATTGATAAACCCAGAGATACTGACTGGCATAGAAACCAACCAATCAGAACCAAATTGGCCGGTAGAGGAGGGAAGTTCATGGCGAGATCAGGCCTGCAGGGGAGGGCAGTTAGGGGTTATCATGCAGGCAGAGGCAGTTAGAGGTAATCAGGCAGGCAGGGAAGGGCAGATGGGGTGATATCAGGCCAGCAGGGGAGGGCAGTTGGGGGCAATATCAGGCTGGCAGGGGAGGGAAGTTGGGAGCAACCTAGCCTACAGTTGGGGGTGAGATCAGGCCAGCAAGGGAGGGCAGATAGGGGCAATCAGGCAGGCATGCAGAGGGTTTAGGGGCAATCAGTCAGGCAGGCAAGCAGAGGCAGTTAGGAGCGATCAGGCAGGCAGACAGATGAGTGGTTAGGAGACAGTGGTCCCAGATTGTGAGAGGGATGTCGAATGCCAGTTTAGGCTCGTTCCCACATTCGGGCCTAAACTGGCCATTAACATCCCCCAAAGGGTCCCTGATTGGAGAGGGTGCAGGCTGGGCTGAGGGAACCTGCCTTCTGAGCACAGAATTTTGTGCACTGTACCACTAGTATGCTGTAATGCATCTTATACATGGTAATCAGAAAAACACCCTCTTTCACAAATCCTCTAAGTCCCCTAACTTCAACACTTTCCGTCTGTACAGCTGACTGCCACTATGGATGCTATGGATGGTATTAGACATGTCGATGAGAGAAAGTAATGTTCAATAGCACTTAGGAAATGACCAGATTGTACTTGTCCTAGATATTTTTTCAATGTAATGCTCTTTGCATCATTTGGGATATGAACATGGTGAAACTAAATGGCTATCATTTAATTTCAGCACCACTGCTAGGTATTCCAGAGGAGAGACTCTTCCATTCATTTTTGTGTCCTGAATGCCCAGCACATAGGGCTTCCTGAATTTTAAGTCCTGAGCTAAGCACTTTACATATGTTATCTCATGTAATGATAGCAAATCCCTATGGGCTAGAATTGAGTGTTTCCCAAAGTGTGGTATGCATACCCCCAGGGGTACGGGAAGAGTTTGGTGGGGGTATGCACTGCGCCGTGCTTAGCTGCTCCTAATTCTACAATCTCATGAGTACAAGGAGTACTCAGCATTACGGAAATTATAGAAGGGTACACATATCTCAAAAGTTTGGGAAACACTGGCCTAGATAATGTTGTTATTCTCATTTTATAGGTTTTAAAAAGTGAGGTTTTGAAAGACTTGATAATGCTCCCAAGGCTTCAGAGAGAGAATTAAACCTGGGCTCAAATCCAGGGTTTCTAATTTCAAAGCCACTAGGGACCCAATCCCTTGCTGAAAATTGTTGAATCACTCTAGATGGGTGGTAGCCTTCATGTCCTGCTGGACACACAGAAATGAGGAACCTTCTAGTCAGTTTCTCCTTCTGCCTTCTTGATGTTTCTTCCTCTGTCCCTACGTCAAAGCTGCTATTTCGCTAGGTCAAATTCTAAAGTGACACTCATTTTATTTCCCTAGCATCAATATAAAATGATGACTGATTACCCTATGGAACACAAGTACTTTATAACCAGATATCTTTTCCCCATGTTTAATAACTTTATGAGTTTATGAGGTGTAAAGAGCATATTTCACTAGCCACTTGTTTACAAAAACGGTTTAACTTTGTGAAGTAGAAATATTATATCAATATTGATAAAAAAGTGTATTAATAATGAGTATAAAAGTACTCAAAATATCCTGTAACTATAAAGGAACAACTGATCAAAGCAAGGATATTCCGCGGGACTGCATTACTCTCTTACTTGGATCTTGCCATTCTGGAATAACTTTTGGTTTTGATTCCACAGCAAGGATTCATTAGGTGACCACATACTTTGATGAGAATTCATCCTCATGTTGAGCCATTTTATTTTATTTTATTTTATTTTATTTACATTTTATTGATTTTCCACAGAGAAGAAGGAAGAGTGAGAGAGAGCTAGAAACTTCGATGAGAGAGAAACATCAATCAGCTGCTTCCCCACACTGGGGATGTTCCCGAAACCAGCTCTGTGCCCTCGACCTTGGTTTCGGGAACATCCCCAGTGTGGGGAGGCAGCTGATTGATGTTTCTCTCTCATCGATGTTTCTAGCTCTCTGTCCCTCTCCCTTGACTTTGAAATCAAGTCTGGAACCTTTCAGTCTGCAGGCTGACATTCTATCCACTGAGCCAAACCATCCAGGGCAGGCTGAACCATTTTAGAAGCTTCTACTCTACCAATTTTGACTGATAAAAATGGCATTTTCATATGGTTCAACCTAATGATTGCTCTCATCAAAGTAGACTAGAAAGTTGTTAACCCTTTTTTTAATATTTAAATTGAAGAAAATTTAAATTATTTTTAATGTGAATCTGAGAGTTTCTATATATGCTGACGGATAACATATGATTAACTGCTCTACTTGGCTAGCACAGTGCTTTGAACTGATAAGTCAAATGAACGACATGTCCCAGGCCCACCAGGAAAACCACACAAGCAGCCAAAGCCCTTCATCTGTCGCCACAGCAGCACCCTGTCAGTGAGCAAGTAGACAGGAAGGAGAGACGTGGGCATGTCCTCTCTTTGACAGAATAGGTTGTAACTTGGCAACAAGCTGTGAACTTGCTAAAGGTCAAAACCTGGACTTGGCACTCACGTCTCACAGAACTCGCTTAGCTAGATGTTTCAAACGTGTCTTCCAATGCACACTGCTTATCAAATGGCAAGGCAAAAAACAAGGAACATTTGTCGCTCTATTTGCTCCAATTTAGCAGCGCTGTTCTGGGCTGGGTAGCCAGGATATGGAAACTGACTCGCAGGGTCATTGTAAAGGAGCTGAGTGAACCAACACAGAACAAGGGGGCCCTGAGCCTGGTATGAGTGTCAAGGGCCATAGCAAGAGTGTGGCATCAATGTTGATATCTGGAACATGAGCAGATGGGTCAAAATCACGCTGGGCCCATTATGAGCAGAAAGGAGGCTGAGCTTGGTGGAGAGGATGGCTTTAGAAAAGCTATAGCCCAAAGGAAATGAGCCCAGCAGTGTCTAAGGAGGGCAAGTAAGTGCTCAGTGAATGTGAAGAGCAGCACTCTGGGCAGCAGGTGACAGCACAGGGAATTTTACCTCATTTAACAGTATTTCAGATGTAATTGTATTATTCTGGGAAGCCTGGGTAAATACAGTGTGTAATCTAATTAGAGATACTCAGTTCATTCTCTTCTTACAAAACCAAGAATCTGTGATAGATGTTCTGTGGGGATATGTCTGCTTTTTATATACTAGAGGCCCAGTGCATGAAATTTGTGTACTCAGGGGCGGGGGTAGGGGCTGCGGGGGGTGGTGTCCCTCAGCCTGGCCTGTGCCCTCTGGCAGTCCAGGAGCCCTCGGGGGATGTTCAACTGCTGTGGAGGTGGAGAGGCCGCCACCACTGTGCTAGCCAGCTATGCGCCTTGCTCAGGGCTTCTGGCTGAGCAGAGCTCCCCTGAGAGGAGTTCCTGCATTGAATGTCTGCCCCCTGTTGGTCAGTGCACATCATGGCAGTAGGTTGTTCTGCCATTCAGTGGATTTGCATATTAGCCTTTTACTGTATTATATAGGATACAGCTTAGTCTATTTGGGCTGTTGTATCAGCTTTACATAGTCTAGGTGACTTAAACAACAAACATTTATTTCTCATAGTTATAGAGATGGGAAAGTCTAAGGCACTGGCAGATTCAGTGTCTGGTGTCTAGTGAGGGCCCGTTTCCTGTGTCATCACATGGTGGAGTCACTTTTCTAAGGACACTAATTCCATTCATGAGGATTCCACCCTCATGACCTAGTCACCTCCAAAGGCCCCATCTCCTGACACCATCACATTGGGGTTTAGATTTCAACATATGAATTTTTGTGGGACACATTCAGTCCATTGCTATATATGTAAAAAAGTGAGGTAGGCTCTATGTATAGGTATATCTAGATATAAGCATTGGCAGATAATATTAGGACCGCGAATGTCTATAATCATATATCTTGGTTTATACTAATTTAGGGTTGTGCCTTATGTATATTTTAAACTAATATCTCTTGGTAGCAGGTTATATATTCTCAATGGTATTTTTAATTCTCACTTCCTAGCTATTTGATGTATGAAAGATTGAGTGAATGAGTAAAAACAACTGAGGGCATTTAGTGGACAAATATAGACTTGTATTTTATAGTCCAATATAAGTTTCACATAATATTTTCTGTGGCCAGAAGCTTTATTCTTGTTTGAATGTTAACAAATCCAAAGGCTGGTTTTATTCATTTGCTTTATTTCTGCTTATAAACAGAAATATCTTACTAACTTTCAGAGGTGAAATACAATCCTGATTTTGAAAAAAAAAGAGGTGGTGGGGGGTGGTTTCTAAAAAAATAAACCTCGTTTACTTAATTAATAAACTGGGTTTAAATCCATGAAATAATAAAGCAGAAGTGTGGCAGCTCTTTCTACTTAAAACTAAAACTTTTATAGGCAGAATCAAGACTGTGTGATAAGATAAAAAGAAATAAAGTCTTAAGAATATATTTTGAAAGAGGATTTCCTATAAGAGAATAACATTTCCACAGGCTGTAAAAAATTAACTAGAGAAGTTATTGCTAGCTTTACAATCCCCAAAGAATAAGAATTGCCACTGTAGGAATATTATGATGGTGGCTGATTTTGTAAGTATATGTTTGCTTGCTTGTGGAAGCAGTAGAGAATTTAGGAGAAAAGACTTTAGGCTGTTTGTCATCAGTGGAAGATCTGGGATTGAGAAAGAAGAATCACATTGTCTTGACTATGCTTGTTGGAAGATATCCTATGTCACTCAAAAAACAAAAACTTTTTGTGTGTGCCTACTTACTATGGCATAGAACTATGCTAGGAGCTAAGATTGATGCAATAAATAAATAAATAAATAAATAAATAAATAAGGCCCTACATGGCCTATCTGTGTAGACCACACAGGTAGGCTAGTAGGCCTGGAAAAAAAGCAGTTATCAGCACAGGTTATTGTTACAAGAGCCAAATGAGCAGTGTGGAGCTAAGATTGATGCAATAAATAAATAAATAAATAAATAAATAAATAAATAAGGCCCTACATGGCCTATCTGTGTAGACCACACAGGTAGGCTGGAAGGCCTGGAAAAAAAGCAGTTATCAGCACAGGTTATTGTTACAAGAGCCAAATGAGCAGGGTGGGGCAAAAGTCAGAAGTTAGAATTGAAGTTTCCGAGAAGAGGTGGGGATTGGAGGGTGGAGCCTTGTGACAGCCAGGGAAGCAGTTGAAGACATTGCAGGGAAGTGGCTCTGGACAAGAAACAGAGGCAGAAAAGCCTCCGAAGATCTGTTGGGTTCAGTAGGCAGATCAGTGTGGCTAAGGTACATACAGGACAAAGTGGAGATGAGGTTGGAAAGGGAGTCTCATGTTAGATTGTGGAGGCCACAAATACCAGGCTGAGGAGTCTGAATCTTCCTGCAGGCAGTGGCCAATCATTGAAAGATTTTGAGGAAGAGATGACCAGGAGAAAAGTCATATTTTAGAAAAACCATTGTAGTGGCTGTGCAATGAAGGGATTGGATTAGAGAGAAACTATGTATGCCAAGGATACCTGAGAAAAAAAGATTTCGCAGGAAGACTCTAGAGGCTTGTTTGGATGGGGATAATGGTAAAAGAGAGGGAGACATCAAAAATGATGTTCATATTTTGAATTTGGGTCACCAGTAAAAAACTTAAAACCACACAAATTCTAAAGAGAAAACTAGTTTTGGAAGGAAGACAATACTTTTACATAAGGTATATATTGGATTAAGCAGGGGACAAGTCAACTAAGAAACTGCAACACATCATGGGAAACATATTTGGAGTGTGGTAATGACTACAGATTTTGTCATTTATTTAAATGGAAAATATGCCTAAAGTTCAGGAAGTCTATATATTATTCTCTGGAAGGAAGGAATAATATATAGAGAGAAGCACAGAAAGCTGAAGGCTGAATATCAAAGCATTTCTGTCTTAGAGGTCAATGGAGAAAAAAAAAAAGGAGATAGAAAAAGTAATGGTCAGTGAGTTAGGACAGCTGAAGAGTTACAGAATCAAGGGCAAGGTTTCATGAAAACTTCCACCAAGTTAAGGAAAAGTGACCACGCAAACAAAGATCCCTGAATCGGGTAATGAGCACGTCTTAGAGGTCTGTGCATTGGGAGAGGGCTTGAGAGAGAGCCTTGGGGCCTTAAGAAAGGATGATCTAGACTTCTGTTGTCTACTCCATGGCCACAGGCAGCTATTGAGTGGGAATTGGCCTAGTCAAACTAGTATATGCTATAATCGTAAAAATATATACTGGATTTCAAAGATGTAGCATTAAAAATTTTTTTTAAAGAATTTTAAATATTGGTTACACATTGAAATGGTGATATTTTGGATATATTGGGTTAAATAAAAGATGCTATTAAAATTAATTTCATGTTAAAATTTTTTTATTTTATTTTTAAAAATATATATTTTATTGATTTTTTTACAGAGAAGAAAGGAGAGTGATAGAGAGCTAGAAACATAGATGGGAGAGAAACATCGATCAGCTGCCTCCTGCACACCCCCTACTGGGGATGTGCCTGCAACCAAGGTACATGCTCTTGACTGGAATTGAACCTGGGACCTTTCAGTTCGCAGACCGATGCTCTATCCACTGAGCCAAACCGGTTTTGGCCATGTTAAAATTTTTTAATAAGGCTCACTAGAAAGTGTACTTACATTATATTTTCATTGAACATCACTGATCTAGACCTTCATAATGAAGGTCACTAATATATAGTGAAACACACACTTACTTACATTTTAATGGTTAAATGCATTTTTTACTCCGTCCAACCAATTAGAAGTGCTTTGCATTTTGTGAGTGTATTTTTGTATATTGTAACCAGTATATTGTAGAGATCCATTTGTTTATTTTATGCAAAACTTAGATTATTCCATTTTACTAAACATTTGGCTCCTTTTTCAACCAACAGATGATGCTGATACTCGCAGGACTTACACTCTAAGTGATTATTTAAAAAGTACTATTAGAACGAGGAACTACAACTTGCGGTGGATTTCAGGTAAGGATTTTTTTGGGGGGAGGAGGCAGATTTTTATGCTTATGTTCATACTAATTAGGTTGTGGAGCACTTTTCTGGCACTAAGACGATATTCTTGCTTTTTTAAAAAACCATATAGGAGAAAATCTTTTTCTACTTAAGGGTGCAGATTGAGTTCAGCTAGAAAGCTTATTTCTTTGGTATGTACTATAAAAGTTAAATGTGAATTGCAACCTTCACAGAAATGATGGACAAGGGAATGCATACCTGTATAATGGTCATCGCTTAATGTTTGTTTTTTTTTAAACTTAGAAATGCTTATTGACTAATTTGTACAAACTTGAACCTTAAATTTTTATTGCATAATTTTTAGCTTACGAAGATGTCTAATAGCAACTTGAAATGTTGATCTGGTCATTTTCTCTCTTTAGACCACGAATATCTCTACAGACAAGAAAACAATATCTTGCTATTCAATGCTGACCATGGAAACAGCTCTACTTTCTTGGAGAACAGTACATTTGTATGTTTAATCACATAATTAATTCAGACTTTAAGGAGATTCTGGGGATTTTTTTTTTTCATAACCTTTTAAATTCTAAGTACTATCTTTTCATGCTGTTGGACTCTCTCTGCAGCATATGGCACAGTGGATCTTTCTCTCCTTCTTGGAATGTTCCCTGCCTTGGCTACTTTTTAGTCTCCTTTGACGATTCCTCCTCCTCTGCCCATACTCCTAAATGTAAGTGTCCTCAGGGCTCTGTCTTCAATTGCTGGCCCCTCTCCTCACTTTGCATGCTCTTCTTCAGTAAATTTCATGCCCTTCCACAACCTCAGCATTCTCTTTCTGGCCTCGAGTCTCCAGTATACACTTTTAACACTAACCCCCTCTCATGATCTAAACCTCTATTTCTAATTGCTTGCTTGCTTCTGCATATGAATGGTCTGCAGGCATTTTAAACTCAGTATCCCAATCTAAGCTAGTTATTTCCCCTTCACTCTCCTAGCAAACTGAAAGCATCCTGTTCCTCTTCCTGGGTTCCCTATCTTGGTAAATAGTGCTCTCCTACAAGCCAATCATTCTTGACTCCTCCCCATATTTAGCTAATCAACAAAACCTCTCAAGTGTCTCTCAGACTTCATTTTCACTGTAGAGTCCAGGTTCAAGGCTTGTTTCACCTTGTAATAGTGAGTATTCTAATTTGTGTCTCTATCTCCATACCGTAGACCAGATCACTGCATTGCCCGCATCCAGAGCTGAGGCAATCCCTCTCATCTCATCTCAGTTACTGTGTCACCAGAGCACCTTTGTAAAAAACAGATAAGATTCTAGCAAATCCATATGCAAAAATAGTCATATTTCTGCTACTTATATTTAAGTCCCATTTTTAGAATTTTATGTCCTCTTAGCTTATATCTTCGTCTGATATACCATATACTGTATTCAGGTTACACCTACCCTTTAGACAGTCTTTAAATATGCATACCCTTTTTGCTAATGCTGTTCCCCCCCTACCAAGAAAGTTCTCTGTCTCTGACCCTCACCCTCACAGCTGCCTTTTCGTGGTTAAAATTAATCCTTCCCTCCCTGGTTCTCTAACCCTGATCACCATCCACCTTTCATTATGGTCATTGGTGTGGGGGAATGTGCCATCTTTCCCAGATTGGAAGCTCCCAAGGCACAAGCCACATATCTAGAGTGATACCCTCTACATAGTAAGTGCTCGATAAATGGCAGTTAAATAAGATTGTTTAATTGTTCTTTTTTTCTACTTGATTGACAGGATCAATTTGGATATTCTATAAATGATTATTCAGTGTCTCCTGATAGACGGTTTGTTCTCTTAGAGTACAACTACATGAAGGTAAAAAATGTTTTCTTATTGTGACATTTAAAGAATCCTAAGAGTATGTTATAACTGATTTCCAGGATATGTACATTTAAAATTGATACCTAGTAATATAGCAGGCACATTAATTTAGCATGAAGAGGAGAGATGCTTCTCGTTCATAAGTGCAAAACATGTTTTAAAAGACATTTATTTGAGTGCTTTCAAATACTAAAAAGTATAGATACTAAAAATATAACAAAATAGAACTTATAATTGAAAAGCAAGTTTGCAAGTCTGACTTGAACATCCAGTAATATAACCCCTTATTTTCTTTATCTCAGCTTTACATGTAAGTATTTGCTTTGAAAAAAATTAAACTTGTCCTAACTGGTTTTACTCAGTAGATAGAGTGTCGGCCTATGGACTGAAGGATCCCAGATTCAATTCCGGCCAAGGGCAAGTACCTTGGTTGAGGGCATGTCCCTGGTAGGGAGTGTAGAGGAAGCAACTGATCAATGTTTCTCTATCCCTCTCCTTTCCTCTGTGTAAAAAAATCAATAAAATATATTTTAAAAATTAAATTTCTCTTTCCTCAGAAGGGACTCTGTAAGGTGACCCAGACCACTCCCAGCCTGCCTGTCCCACCATATATACCCCATTCTAAAGGGGAGCCCCATCCCTGTAAGAACACTCAGCTTCTCCCAGTCATCCAGTTCCATGTCAAATTCTCCCACAATCATGGAAAGGTTACAGTTTGATCACACATCCTCTTCATCTTTGGTATGGCTGCAAAACACCAGTAACTTTAACTGCAGTTTTTTGGTTATTTGTGGATTTAACTACAATATAGGAAATATAGGAAGTTGTGAGACATAAGAAAAACTAAAACCTGTAGAGATATCCTGCATTGAAAAGAAATACCCAGCTGGGGATCCCTACCTCTGCTTGTTTTCTAGAATAAATGATAAATATTAATATAAGTACCTTATCTCAAACACCAATGCTGCTGTACTAGGGCCAAGCAAACCATCCCATATTCCATTTCTTATTTTGGGACAGTGACTCCCAATCATAATATTTACCCTGGATTCACTGTGCTGGGCTACATTTCCTGGACATGAAGACTAGATGACTGTGTTTTGTAAACTTATCAACTATGAGCAAATCAGAATCCTATGCCAACTTTAGCACATCTGTTCCCTATTAATGGATTATTGTTTGTTTAATTCAGTGGTTTGTACTGCTGTCTACGTATTAAATCACTTGAGTTTTACAAAATTCTCAGTGTCCAAGTTAAATCCTCAGATCAATGAATTGAAGTCTCTAGAGCACATGTGTCAAACACAAGGCCCGCGGGCCAAATCCGTCCAGCCAGGCCTTGCAATGTGGCCCGCACCATGCTGTCATCACTGCACTCCACTGCGTTTCCATCACAATGACAGTTTATGACTGACTGTTCAGTAAACCATTCGGCCCGCGATTTAGGCTGGATTTTAGATTTTGGCCCCTTCTCTGATTGAGTTCGACACCCCTACTCTAGAGTAAAGCCAGCATCACTATTATTTTTTGCAATCTGTAGATAATCCTTATCGGCAACCAAGGCTGAGAACCATTGAATAACATTGGTCCATGTTAAAGACTTAACATATAAAGACTGTAAGGTTAAGATAGAAATGGAATAGTAACTACCAACTCAGTTTACTATGTAGCCAAGTTGAGCAGGTGCAATTTGGAGTGCACTCATGGATGTATTCCCTGGTGAACCTTAGCTGGACAACCCTCTTTGGTAATTTGTATTTGTCATGTTACTGGAATATATATGTATATTAAACTGCTTTTGCTATTTTCACTCTGTTCCTTCCTCCTGCCATCCATGCTTTTCAGGCAGTATCCAAAGAGTTCCCTTTAAGTCAGAATATGGCATGCTTATGCTTAAATCCTCATTTTAGTTGCCAATCACATTCAGTGTAGCTCAAACGCTAACACAGCATCCTCAGAAGCCTGTGCGATTGGACTCCATTCTGTCTGTCAGAACCCATCTCCTACCACTCTTTCTGCATTGAGCATGGTTGGCCAGTGCTTCTCCTCCTGTGTACTCCTTAGAATGACCTGGGAGGTTTTTAAAAATACAGATGCATGCAACCTACCCCTCACCAATGACCCCCACATACCCAAGGGTGGGCCCAGGCATGGATAGATTTAAGGACTCCCAGGTGACCCAATGATCCAAAGTTAAGAACCTTTAAATACACAACTTTTTACTTAAATAAAACTTTACTTTCATTTCTACCTATGGGCCAATGCACTTGCAATTGCTTTCTTCTGGAACTTTCTTTCCCCAATCATCAACTGGCTCTCCCTTTTTACTAATTCGGGTGTAGGCTGGTTTGGATCATTCTGTCTAACATTGCCCTCTGTCACTCTGTTTCCCCACGGTGCACCATTTACTCTCTAACATCTTAATTTATTTTACTTCCTTCATAAATTTATTGCAAAATACTAAAGTATAAGATTATTAAAAGTAGAGAACGATATCTTCTATTTTACTTCCCAGAGTATGCAAAAGAATTTTCTGTGCAGCATAAATTTTGTGACTAATCAATGCTCAAGGAATCTATCCAGAACAACAACAAAAATTAGTCTAATGTTATTCCATTTCCTTGAAAGGTCTGCTATGAAGTGTTCTTTATATCCTACTCCATGGCTTCTCAATGACTGAATTAGTGCTTCTAGAAAGATCAGTTATTAGTTCTAAGATATTTTTTAAAAGTAATGATCACTCCTACGTAGCAATAAACATTAAGCGAATACATAAATAAATACCTGGTATGGATGTTCTCCTACCATCTTTACCCATTGCCCAATGTGCTAGAAATAGCAGCCTCATCTAACACACATTGACAATTCCAGGAGCCCTGCATGTCACATGCATTCTCATACACATGAAATTATTGTTGTAATTATGGACATTTTCATAAAGAGAAAATTGAAGCTTAGGGAGAAACTTGCCTGCTCTTAAACCTTAGAGATTTCTTTTAGTCCATTCAAGTGGCTGTAACAGAATACCACAGACTGGATGGCTTAATCACAGAAATTTATTTCTCTCTGAGAAGTCAAAATCAAGATGCTGGCAGATTCAGCTGAAGCCAGTTTGGCTCAGTGGTAGAGCGTTGGTCTGCGGACTGAAAGGT